GAAAATGGGTACATCTAGTGATTCCACTAAATTTAAGAAGCTTGTGGATCCAATAACACTGGTGTCAAAAGCCTTGATTCCGTCGAATCGGTCCCTCAGAATTGAATGCAATAGGGGCGCCGGATAGCTCACCTGGTGGACCTGGCACCGCATGAATGAGTCCTTGCCATGGGTTCATGTTTGATCTGTCACTCTCTCCAACCACTTTAGCACAAACATTATTTCATTCAGCTGCATTGAATTGGGCATAAAAAAATGGACAGTGACAACTGGCCCATGGGAAGATAAAGGCCCCCCTCTCTAGTGCTCTAGTCTTTGTTTGTAATTTGGGTGAACTCACTGTCATTTAACCAGAGACCGGCTTGTGCTATACATGATGGTATGGTTGAATGACAGTTTGCTGCACAGGAAACTGACCAGCTGAGGGCAGTGTTTGTCTACACATCCCTCTCAGGAGCCCAGTGGTTTCTCTCAGTGCACATACACTATAATCCACCACAGTCTGATCCATTCATGTAGCCTTGTGTTACTGGGCTTTCAGCATCAATAACATAACAACTCACACTAATTCCAGGCTCAAATGATCACTGATATGAACACACTTAATAAACAACATGAAGCATTATTCCATGTAAGGCTGCAGTTTGTGTCTATAGTTGGCTAACCCTATCTTGAGGAAATTCAGATTATTGTTGTTTTATGCCTTTATTGGATAGCACAGCTGAAGGTAGACAGTAAATGGAAAGAGAGAGAAGGTTGACGGCAGCTTTAGTACATGGGGTGCATGCTCTGCCAGGTGAGCTGTGAGAAATGATTAAATTGGACAAATAGAAGTCTGGTCTGTTCATTCATCAAAGTATGAGGTTTATTGAGACAAGCGCTGGAGACAGTGTGAAGGTCTGTGTCTTAGCTGTCTTTAGGGTGAAGATAGCAGCAAGGTCACAGAATTAGCAAAAGAGAGTACATACATTTCTCTGTATCTTTCAGCATTCAATAACAATCCACATGTTCCCACTAACCTCTGACAGCACTACTGTTGCACCTCACGCTAAGGCTCAGTCTCTGCATTTGAGTCTCAGGCCTGGGGTCACCTGATTGCCTAAAAAAGTTTTACATTTTTTGCTAACAATATTTATTTATTCTTGTTTTTACATTTCACATGAACATGGTTCTTCCTTTAAGCATGATATCAAGTAATATTATATGTTGCAATCATCGAAATATAAAAAATGGACACTGGGTCTCCTTTTCCTCCCACTGTACAATGATGAAGCCAAAATATCCAGGGATGCAGCCACGGCCATCTTTCGCCATTCGGAGCCAGAGTCTGTACATTGGTGATTAGGGTTTGGAGCTGCTGTAGCGAGATCCCTCCCATATAAACCCCCTTTTATAGCTTCAAATAAATAATTAAAACCAAACTGATCAGAAAAATGAACACTTAAACATACATCAGCGTGATGAGAACTACCTAAAATGCCAGACACCATCTTTGGGAAAAATGTATGTGACATGTAATTTGATTTTTTTTGTTTGGCCCATGTCCCTTCTGCTAACATAGAGGAAGCAGGCTGTATCACCTATACTGCCGTCTACCACCAGAGGATGATATAGTGGTTTGGCTTCACCTTTGAGCAGCTGTCATGTCGTCCATCTTTATATATGTCAGTGGTTACAATAAAACTTAGTCTGCTCGGTATTATTTGTCCAGTCTATTGAAAATTGATCACTTATTTATTCACAAGACCCCTTTTCTTACATTTATAGTGGGGCTCCCAAACCCCAGGTTGGGAACCTGACCTATGACACACTGGACCTTTAAGTAAATTATCAGATTTGCACAGAAACTTTGACATTTAACCCTGTAATGCTACTGGCAGAGCAAGCCAGGACCCCCAAAACTAAACTGTTGTATATTGGTATGAAATCAAAAATATTTTAAAATAAAAAATTACATGACGTCCTTCTAACCATTATGTTGTCAGCTTTTACCCAAACATGTTAGCAAAAGTCATATTGGAAGCACTATTCTGAATTCCCCCGTCTATGAAGTAAATAAGACACATGTCAGTCATCACAGGTCACCAGTCACAACAGCAATGAGTCGTTTACTTTAATCAGCTTGTAGATGCATAGTTCCCTAACTGATACTCAGGAAATACCAGAGCCACTGTATCATTTTTACTGTCCTCATTGGCCCCATTAGTTTTAGATAATGGCAAAGCTTTCACAGTTGGGAAAGCCCACAAGCAATCTGAATCTTTTGCATCTTTAGGCCTTGAAGCGCTAAGCATCACTGATTGCAGACATTCTGGTAATTGGACTGACAGCGGAATGAGAACTCAGTAGCAATAGCAGCTCATGCCAATGACCAAACACATTCTAAAATGGCAATTTATGCTCAGTGCAAGTAATATTAAGTCTAATTGGCAAAGGGCTGAGTTTAGTGACTTCTTTTACTCTAAGTAGAAGTGAGTGATGTGAAAATGCCAGGTAAAAAACTTTCAAGTATTATTATGATGATTGTAAGTGGAAACTTATGATTGTTTTTGGGAGTAAAAATATCACCAGCTGTGTTTCATTGCAAATCACTATGTGGCTGGACTGCAGTGCTCAACCTTTGTTATTATCTTTTCCACTTCACAAACTTTTTTCATTAAATTTCTGCTTAGGAAGTAAGAAAAAAAAATCCCTTACAAATCACATCCTCACATTGACATATTAACTGCATCACATACTCATTCTGTATCTGCCTGTTTCAACCCCCACACTGAATATGTTGTTTACGTTGAGTGAAATATTCAAACTCAAACGACCATGTTCTTTCTGACTGCATGCACCATTATGTCAGAGGGAAATATTGAGATATTAAGATGTGTTGTGCATCATTGAACATACACTGAAATGTAAGATTAATAATAATAATAATACATTTTATTTAAAGGCACTCGAGGACAACGTACAACACAAAAAATAAAAACAGTAAGAA